CCCATCCGCCGACAACACAACGAACTGGACGCTCGATTGGCAAGAGCCATATTCGTCCTGTGCAATTGAACTGAACTGAACTGAACTGAAACGAACTACAATCCTATGGTAAACGTGGTACTATACTCAATAATAGCAAATGTCGCTAGTGTATATCGTATGCAGATCACTGCAACTAACCAATGCGCAACACTGTGCTACTTGGAAAGCTTCCTAGACACCTAAAGCAACAGAAGCTCGAAAGAAGAGAGATTTTAATAAAATAATTGAAGAGGGTAGTAAAAGAACTAAGATTAAAGAAAGTAATCTAACTAATTTAACCGATCAGTTATCTTCTTTTGAAAACTCCGGCAAAAGTAGCCACGCTTACATATATAATGAACCCCACGACACTCTTAAATTTACAGAGTATAGTTGCAGCCGGCCAGTTTCTCGACTCAGTCTGTGTTGGGGTAATGAGACGCTTGCAAATTGCAAAGAATGTTGTGGTTTTTAGCGTACCTGATGGCGTAAACCTCTCTGAGATTGAAAGCAAAATTTTACAATCCGCGAACATGGTATAATGTCCATGTGATTGCTTCAGGCTGCAAAACAGAACGCAGAGATACGCATGTTCTGTGCTTTTTTAATTTTCGAATGACAAAGTGGCTGAAGAATTCATCTGAAAGCAGCCTACTATGGCCAATTCTTTGGAAACTGCTGAGGTTTTGACTTCTGGGGACACCGCCTTGGTGTCGTCTCTGTGGGGAAACCACACAAGAGATGTTATAAATATGATTGCAAGAGCCCCTGCTTTTTGCCACACGTTGGACTAGAGTGAAATCACCAGCGGGTTACATAACTACGTATCGGAGGTGGATCCTCTACAGGTATTTTGAACAGCTTTTTAGCTTATGGCCTATGGTGAAGGCTAATACGTGTATTCATTACTGAATGAAATGTGAACGAGAGATAAATTCTCCGAGTGTTTCCCGGAATAGTTAGTTTCCAAATCATGTGTCAATGTTCACTGAGAGCAAGTATTGATAAAATGTAGTACGATTATGAACGTAAGTAACTATAAATGCTGTGCCAACGTGCAGCAAACGGAAGGCGTTTGATCTCGAGTAAATTACTTAGAATGGAAAGATTCCACAACGTTGCAATGACAGTATGGAATTGTTGGAAGAACACTGAGATGAGAGGCAATTTCAACCTGACCCATAGCCATCTACGATGCTGGTTAAAAAATTAGCCAAGTAAGATACAACGTGCGAGATGTACGGAGCGGCAAAAGATTGCCAATCGACAAATACCATGAAAACGTCTTGCAATCTTTGAGTCGTTCATAATAGAAGATAAAACGTTCTTCAGCTATTCCGTGTAAGCAGAAAAAAAATGAGTACGGTTGCAGTAACGCAGGATTAATGCAACAAAGCGAAAGAAAAAATTTCATAAGAAACGCCTAAATTGCAATACTGCACGATTTGTGTCTAGGACGATTTTACTGCATCTCAACATACTGCAGAAAAACCATCAGTTATATAGGAATTTAGCATGGCTACAAAAGAGAGTAAAATACAATGAAACAGACAAACATAAAAGGGGGAAAGGTAAAAAAGACTGTCACCAGGGTGAGGATAAACTAACATAAAGTTTGTTGTGTTGACACAAAGAAGGCTTCCATCGACTGATAGCAATCGCTTCTGCAAAACGTAGCAATCTTGCGATTCGTGACTTGTAGATAATCCGAAATGCCATGCTTCGGTCGATCTGGTGTTGCGTCATCAGAAGATGTCGAGCTATGGCTAATGACGGAGTCTTATAGTTTAGACCGTGTTTCTGTGCCGCGGAAGTGACTCGGATTGCGTCATCTGACTTTGAACTGAATTTGGAATATATTCAACCACCCGGTTGAGTAACTGTCGCTCTGTTCTGCACACGTAGGTCGCTCCTCACCCACATTGGAATTGGTAAATCAGATTAGAGTTGGCGTACAGAGGAAGACGTTCTTTTACCGGGGGTGTGGGTATTCTAGCTGTCCGATAGACGATTTGGAGGTCGGCTGCGTAGTAGGTTCGAGCAATTGCCGATTTCAGTCGTATTTTGAACAAACTGCTTACGTCATCACCTTTGAATTGGAGGCACAACGTGACATATTGCGCGCGATTGCAAGCGAGGCGCTTACCGCGTGGGGATATTCTATGGCCTTGCACGTTGTTTGATTTTCTCGCCTGTTTTGTGCTGCAGATTGATATAATGAATGATGCTATTTCCAGAAACGCATCATCCCACAATCAAATAGATGACATCCATCTAAGATTGATAACTAAGACCTCAGGGTATCCCTTAGGGCTAGAATTCCACCCGGATGAAGTGCCGTGGAAATCTGGCGACTGTGGATACGAACTTGGTATCATTGGGTTGCACAATGAGATTAAGGATTTTTTCAATTATATAAAGCCCACTGCAGAAGAGCAGTTTGCCAGCAAAATAGTGGTGTCAAAAATTAAAGAAGTCGCCCACTCCCTGTGGCCTGATTGCCAGGTTGATGTTTTTGGTGGCTTCAAAACCGGCCTGTACCTCCCCACCAGCGATATCGATATGGTCATTTTCGGAAGGTGAGAAGCACTCCCGCTCCATACTCTCAAACAAGCATTGACAAAAAGCGGGATTTCTTCTGAGATCAAAGTCCTTGATAAGACAACTGTACCTATCGTCAAGATGACCGACAAAGAGACGGAGGTGAATGTAGATATAAGCTTCAACATGATAAACAGTGTGCGCGCTGCCGAGTTAATACGAGTTTACATGAGAACATACCCATGCCTACCGCACCCTGTCTTTGTGTTGAAGCAGTTCTTGTTCCAGAGGAATTTGAATGAAGTGTGGACAGGCGGGTTAAG